TTATCTCTGACTCCAGCATTGGCAGTTCTTACTATCTCTATCCTGCATTCATAATGTTTATGAATATTGGCAAGGACAGGAGGCATAACTCCCCTCCTCTTTTTGAAATAGAGCCATGGGATCTTTAGCAGCCTCTAAAGCAAGCAGATAGGGCCTAAGCTGAATGGCTCACTCAGGAGATGGCATTTCTGATAGGGCAGGACTACATTGAAATGTTGACCTTTATTTTTTGTGCTGAAACCCTGGGGTATCTGGTCATGATGCTCTGGACATTGTGTCAGGTAGGCTTAATGGACCAAAAACAGAAGTTGCTGGAAAAGCTCAGCAGGTCTGGCGGCATCTGTGAAGGAGAAAATCAGAGTTAATGTTTCCGGTCCAGTGACCTTTACCACCAGACCTGAAACGTTAACTCCGATTTTCTCTTCACAGATGCTGCCAGACCTGCTGAGTTTTTCCAGCAACTTCTGTTTTTGTTCCTGATTTACAGCATCCGCAGTTCTTTTGGTTTTTATTTCGGCTTAATGGACCATTTGATCTTAACCTGCCTGTCAATTTCACGTGTAAATTTTTGTGACATAAATGGGCGTATTCCAGTGCTCCCTTGGCTGGCTTCTTACCTTACACTGTGAAAACGTTTGAGCTCATGCTAAACTCTGCAACCCATTTTCTAACTTAAAGTCTAGTTCACCCATTTGTCCCTCTGTATTTGTTGATCTGCATTGGTTTTGGCTCTGGCAAAGTTGTTTTTTTTAAGGTTCTAATGTTTGTTTACAAATTCCTTCATGATCGTTCAGCCCACTCTGCCTCTGTAACCTCCTCCAGCCTTACAACCATCCCAACGCTACGATCCTCCACATCCCTGAAATTAATTGCTGTACATCGGCAGTTGTGCCTTCAGTCAGTTAGGCAGTAAGCATTGGAATTCCTTCCCTAATCATCTGCACTTCTCTACCCCAAACCTTTTTTTTCAAGATGCTCCTTTAAACTTTATCAGTTTGACAGATTACGATTATCTGTCCCAATGTTTGGCTGCGGCTGTGTTAAATTTTGATTGGTAACACACCCTGTGAGCCACTTACTTGATAAGTACAATAATAAATGTAAATTACAGTTGGAAACTGTCTGGTTGTCATCCTTGTAACTGTCTGTTCCAACAGATTTGAGGTTGATTTCACTGCCACCTCGGTTGTGGTGTTATGTGTCTGTCAGCAAAGATTCCTGTGTGCGCTATTGTGGTGAAATTGGAAATGCAAACTCTCTTTGGTAATACAGTTTTCCTTTTTTTCTCCCCGCTCCATTCCTTTCTTTTCTCCCCCCTCATGCCAACCTCCCCAAACAAAATAAATCGGACCAAGGAACATTTTTGGGGATGTAGTGGGGCACCTTTTTCTTTACTCCTCATACTTTTTAATCAGTAAGATCTAGCAAATCCTTCCATGTCCACATTAGGAGCAGCAAGCTGCTCAAATCATTCTCCACTCTCATATCCCTGCTTAACACAGCTCTCAAATTATTACATCTTTTATTGAGATACATGTCTTCTGTTACTTTTTTGACATTATATATAGTAATTGTTAAGATGAGGCATCAAGATGTTGAGCTGTGGATCACTTCAACACAGAGTACCGAAATAAAGCACAAGTTTTCACATAACAACATAGTGCACGTTTATCAGAATCAGTACATGCAACTTAATGGCCTATGAAGCACTTTGGGGGACATGTCAGTTTAGATAGTGAGTAAAAATTCTTCTACATTTTTCCATTCAGTATAGTTGGGGGCAAGTATAATTTGAGTTTGCCACACTGTAGAACTCGCTGGGTGTCCCCCAACATTGCCTGAAACATAACTGATAAAGAATGGTTCCATCTGCAGTGCTGTTGTGATAAATGTTCATTTCCCATATCAGATATTCTGGGTCTGAATGAGATTGCCAGGCTAGGGGATTTCTTTCTTTTGACCCATTCCCTACTGGATTTGGATCCAAATTGTTTGCACACATACTTAATGTAGAACCATTAAACCAAGAGGTTTTCTGCCAATAAATCCTCAGAACTTGTTTTCTTAAATACTTTTAAGCCACTTTTTTAAACTTGGAAAAAGCAAAGGGGAAATTTTCTCTGTAAAACTGCACAAACATTTTCAATACAATGACGCAGTCACAAAAAATATTTATTTTGTTTGTTTAAACATTGAATGCTGATGCAAGTTGGAATACTGATTTGGAAGGGTCAATTAACTGGATGATGCAGGAGAGATGAATTATCACAAGCAAATTGTGCTGATTCATTCTTGGAGATGTATCTGAGATTTAGCTCCACTGCAACTTGATTAATAGAATCAACCAGTGCTTGTCTGGTGTCATGGAGACTGTCTGTCTAAGCAGGCAGATTGACAGAAAATGAACAAAGGCGTGCTAGTCCTGTTACTGTAACTGATTAATCGTTAAAGGGGTCTCGATGAAGAGGCTCCAACAAATATCTCTGCAATAATGTGGAAGGCATGACAGAAATGAACTTCTGGAGTTGAGCACTTTGAAGGGAGGTATAGTTGGGCACAGTGGTGCAGGGTGGATGGAATGGTAACGTGTTATAACTGGGAGAGTGTGCTTTGAAACCCTCTAGTCCAACTTAATGGCTTCAAGCCACCGGTAGTCCACTGGTGGATTCTAATCTATAAACCCACTCCTGTTTTTCACTTTTTAGCTAAGGTAGGTCTTCCCAAATTGGAATGCAACCCCAAGGGGAAGGGGTATGGTCACAAAGCAGGATTTTTGAGGTTGAGCGCTCCAATGCAATAATGGTACCCCAGTGAGTGCTGTCATTTTTTTGCTGATGGGTGCAGATTAACTGAGCAATCTGAGATGCCTGCTGCCTGCTCCAAACAATAAGTGAGCTGTTAAAACAAAAGATTTTGTAAGACTAACACTTTTTTTCTTTTACTTCGTTTTCTGCCTCCACCCCACACTACCATCCTGCCAGTCAACATTGCAATTTTTAAGCTTTGGAATGCAGTCAGAGTAGGAAGGAGTTTGAGGAGCACCATACCCTGCCCTTAACAGACAAAAACTGACAAAAATGCACCTGATTATTTTGATTTAGTAATGTTTTTCGAAAGACCACTGATGTGCTGTTATATAATTGATTTTATAATATAAATGATCTTTTTTCTGATCTGATTTCTGTTTTCAATTAATTGACAGCATTGCTTATAACAATGCAGTGCAGGAACAGCCATATGGTTCAACTAGTTCACACTGATGTGAATCTATCACTCACACCTCCTGCTTTTTCTTGTCTTGCACTCCATGTAACGTTCTCTCTCTTTGTGTACTTTATTTAGCTGCTTCTTTAAACGTGTCTGCATCATTTACCTCGACAGCATCCTGTTTTGTGAGTTTCACACTCTTGTTGCTCTGTGTAAAGGTGTTTCTTCTGAATTTCCTATTAATTTGTTTGTGGGATTTCGCTGTGCAGAAATTTCCTGTGATACCACAGTTAATGTACTTCAGCAATATGTATATGGCTATGAATGAACTCCTGGATATCCTGAGGCCTTATATGGTGCTGTATATTCCCTTAAAATGAGGTTGCTGTGTTCAGCCTTAAAGTTACCACCTATTGTTTTTGATTGAGTTACACTCTCATTATTCCTCAATGACCTTATTAACTGGATTTTTTTTTGTTCTAAAAATCTAGACCTTGTAACAAGCCCAGCGTGACCATGGCAACAGTTGTGATGGATCAGATTGGCAGACTCTTCATCAATATCCAGCAGATCCGTCAGATCCCGAGCCTGGTGGAGCAGTCTATCCCTAGCCTGCCATGCGCAGTGAAGGATTGTGAAGTGCCACAGATATTCCGTGAACCGTACATCTACTCTGGCTACAGGCCCGTGAAACAGAGCTGGCGCTACTACTTCTTCACCTTGTTCCAGCGGCACAATGAATCTGTCAATGTTTGGACCCATCTGATTGCTGCGCTGGTCGTCCTCCTCAAATTTCAGAAGCTGTCTGAGACAGTGGAGTTTTTGTCTGATCCCCATGCACTGCCACTATTGATCCTTCTCCTGTCTGCCTTCACCTACTTGACTTTCAGTTCCTTGGCCCATCTCTTGCACTCGACCTCTGAATTTGCCCACTACTCCTTCTTCTTCTTGGACTATGTTGGTGTGGCCATCTATCAGTATGGTAGTGCTTTGGTCCATTACTATTACTCTGTTGAAGAGGAGTGGTACCACATTATCAAGCCTTTCTATCTCCCAATGGCTACCATCTTGGCTTGGATGTCCTGTTTGGGATGCTGCTACTCAAAATCCAATGCCAAGGTACTGTGTCCTTGGACACGCAAACTCTACCAGGTAGTGCCAGCAGGGCTGGCCTACATATTAGACATTAGCCCTATACTGCACCGGATAAACAATTGCTATTCCTCTGGTTGCACCGATGACACCATCTGGTACCATTCAGGCCAGATCATCTTCTTCCTTATTAGTGCTCACTTCTTCTCTTGCCCTCACCCAGAGAAGTGGTTCCCAGGGAAGTGCGACATTTTCCTGCAGGGGCACCAGATTTTCCATGTGTTCATGGTCCTGTGTACCATGGCCCAACTGGAAGCTGTCCATTTGGATTACAAAAATAGACAGCACTTCTATCGGATTTGGCACAGAGACTCCACCTGGACTGTGGTCACCTGTTTTGTAATCCTCATCTCCTCCAGTGTTGCCACAATGCTTTACATGAGGCACCTCATGAAAATCAAACTGAGCCACAAGGACAAATGAAGACTGTCACTTCTCAATTTATAATGTTCAACATCAGTACGTTCAGGACATTTTCATCTTTTCTGGGTGTGGTTTTCAGGGGGAGGAGGGAAGGGTGGCCCCATCTGTTGGTTGCTGGGCAGGGATTTTTGTTCTTGGGTTGAACTTGACCTCAATTTGTTTTGCATTGAGACAGATAGCAACTTTAGAAAATGTCGGTCACATACTCAATGTTGTCATGTTAATGAATATCCTTTGCTGAACATTCAGCTTCAGATTTGAATTTTGTCAGAAGGTGCTGGTTCAAACCACGTGTTCTGTTGTAATTGACATGTTCAAACAAGTGTTGCTCTGTTAAGTTCAGACAATGAGTGCCTTTGGCTTGGGCATTTTTCAATATGACCTGCCTAAATATGCCTGAATATCAAAAGTGATGGGCCTGAATTTTTAATTATTTAACCCAGCAGCCATTCTTTGGTCTGTTTATTTAATTTGTCCAACTTTACTTAAATCCTAAAATAAACACTCAACTCCAGACATTGGATATCTGAAACAAAAACAGTTCTGGAGAAACTCAGCAGGTCTGGCAGCATCTGTAGAGGGAAAGCAGAGTCAACTTTTTGAATCCGGTTATCCACCTTCAAAACTTGTTCTTTCGACAAAGGGTCACTGAACTCTGAAGCATTAATTCTTGTTTTCTGTCTATAGACTCTGCCAGACCTGCTGTGTTTCTCCAGCATTTTAATTTTGTTTACTCAAATTCTGTTGGTTTCCCTGCTTTCTTTTGGTAGTAGTCAATATTTCCAACTGTCCAGAATTATACTCAAACTGCGTTATTTGGTTGATGCTAACTGATGAATTGCTTTGACATGTACCAAAGCCAACGTTTCACATTGGTCAAGAAGGTTGCACATTGTCATGTCATGTCATGTTGACCTGTGAGTGATAATTGCTGTTCACTTCCCAATAGTACCTTTTTTAATGGTAGAAATGAAATACATTTGGCAAAGCAGCCCTGACAGAATCAGTGCATCTTATTTTCTGCTCCTCAACCATTTTGATGTTTCAATTCCATACCAGTGCATCCCATTCAACCCCTGATCAGCTGACTTGGAGATTTTCTCAGTGACGTTGTCCACTACATTGATGTCATTGCAAGCTCAGATGGTGCAATATCAGAGGTACAAAGAATTTCCTAGTGTACATTTTCTACACAATTGACTAGAAAACCTTTCAAAAGTCAGTGTATAGTTTGCCAAATCCTATTTTCTACCATTGTGCCAGATATCGTCTACAAATTGTGTTGTTTGTTTGCAATGCTCTACTGTTGGATGCACCTTTTAGGGAAGGAGAATAAACAAACCTGCATTTGTGTGGTGTCCGTCATGATCCCATGATGCCCCTCTGCATCCAATGAAATACTTTTAATGAACTGTTGTTGCTCTGATCAATTAGCAAACGTGGCATCTAACTTGGATGCAGCACAAACAAATGAGATGATGATAGTCAGGGACGTTGATTGAAACATGGAGTATTGGCCAAGATACTGGAGAAAACACCTTTCTATACTTTGAAATAGTGAAATGGATAGATTATGCCCTCCTGCCACAGTAGGAAAGGTCTCAGTTTGATAATGAAATGATATTTTGATTCCAGCATACCATGACTCCAGAATTGAGAGTGTCAGCATACATTTTGGAGGACGATGTGATCCCATGGCCTCTTCACTTCAGAAAAAGTATTTACTAATCCTTGGATGACCAGAGCAGACTGTGTACAGGTTTTGGATCTAACAGTGTTGCATTAAGAAAATGTCACACATAGCAAACAAATTATGCTGCTTATTGCACAGATAGTGAAAAGCGAGTTAGCTTGTGGTTCAGAAGCTGAGGTTTGATTCCCATTCCAGCTGAAGTAGACTTATGACCTTCCTACTCATCCTCCCACTAAGAGGGGAAAGAAATGGCAAACCATCCTGGATAAAAATAAAACTAAGAAAACATCTCCATCATGAAGTATTATCAGATAATGGGCTATGGACTATGAATGAATGTAGAGACTTCAAGTGGGTGAACGAAACAATCTGTAGCAAATGGACCCCTTCTTGATTAGACATGAGCTGTGCTAAGTATTTGTGAATGTTCCAAGGGAAATTAATCCATTTGTTGCTGTCTTCAGTGAGACAAGTGCTGGCTTAAGATGAGATGCTGCCTCTTGTTTCCTTCTTCCTTAACATATCATTTTGTTGGAGCCTTTCTCTCTTGTTTGAAAATAAAGTGAATTGTGGGCTTTGACTCTTCCTCTAATAGTCACTTTCAGGACTGACAAGGGAACAGATGGAGATTGCATTGATGAAGTAAACATTTTTCAGCTTCCGTACTCATACTCACTCTAAAATAAAAAAAATCATTTGAACCCTTTCCTGGCTGTAAGTATTTTGTCAAGTTCTCTTCCCAGTCTGTGAATCATCCTCTCTGTAAAACACCTATATGTTACTGAAATATGTTTGTGGAAAAGATGAAGTGATTTCCGTAATATTCTGACCTAATAATTACCAGACTAGTGATGGTGGTTCTGAAATGCCTGACATTACATCCATTAAAGGCCAATTGGTGTTAACGACCTAGTTAGATCGCACTGCCACAGTGAATACCTGGTCAGCTATCAGCTAGAATCAGTGTTGCAGATACTGTGCCACCCTTAGGGCTGCCATAGATCAGCAAGACTTGACCTGCATATTTGGATTGAACCGTGTCATGATTCAAAATGCTTTTTTTTTAAAGTAAATCCTACAAGGGCATTCATTGCCTGCTGATTATGATGACCTAGCTTTGCTAAGGGCAGGGTTTACAAGTAATTGTCAAATCTCCAGAAACTTTCTCCAGTGATTGATCTTTAAGAGAGCTGAGGTTGTGAATGGTTGCCATGGAGAGTAGTTGCGAAGTGGTCCTGAGGGGACAGGCCCTGTTCAAAGCCTCTGTCTTCAAGAGAGAGCAGATGCTGTTAGATGGTGTAAAACTTGTACATCCCTTTCTGCAGCGTCTGGTGGTGCTGCTATTGGCTGGTGCCTAAAATGGACTGAGCCAAGATTCTACGTCATTTTGATATCTTGCACCATTTCCCTATGGGTGCACCAGTTCTGATGAACACAGACGAGGGAGAAGTGACATTGGAAGGATAATGAGATAAATATTTATGACAGCAAGGATGGAACTTTGATTGAATATGTTCCGATCGGGTCAGGAGGGCTGAACACATTCCCCTTTCAGCTTCCTGATTTGGTTGTAATAAAGGATTCAATTTCTTTTTAACACACAGCTACACCTTCATCCAATTAAACCAGTTACTGATTTTGCTGTAAGTGGTGAGGAGGCAATTACAAGGTTTTTTTTTGAGAAACGGCAGTCTTATTCAGTGTTAATCCTGGGGGAGAATTAATTAAGACACATCAAGCGTATGGCCCTTTGCAGTCACATGACCCTTTCATAAACAGGTGCACACTTAAAAGGGGTTGGAGTCAAGTAGAAAAGAAAGACTTATAGTTTTCTGGTATCTTTCAAGTGCAAGGTTTTTAAGTTGAGTCAGTGATTGGTTGATTTGCTTCTTGGAATTTCAGCAGAAGCTAAGACTGCATTTACTTTTAAAGTTTCAGCTTTCCCTGCCTGACAAGAATTTATTTATCACCACCCTTTCTTAAAACAAAAATCAATAACCCGGACACCTCTGCCTTCTGATGCAGGAAGTTCCAAAATTGCACAACTCTGTGAAAGAAAAGAATTCTCATCACTGTAATAAGAGGGTGGCCCTTAAGTGTAGGACAGTGTCTCCTAGCTCTGAACTTTCCTCTCAAGAGGAAATGTTCTATCAAAGTCTACCTTATTAAGACATTTCATGATCTTGTACACTTTACACTTTACTCTTCTAAACTCCAGTGAAAACACACAGAACACAGCTCAGTACCAGCCTAGACAGCTTCCTCTGAACAGCCTCCAATGCATTTATATCCTTAAACAAGCAGACCAAAGCTGCATTGAGTATTCAAGCTGTGATCACCTCAAAACCCTGTATACCTGAAGCATAACCTCACTTCAATATCCTATTCCTTTTGGAATAAAGGAAAAGCATTTTATTAGCCTTCCTTTCTGTATCTGCACACATGCAATAGAACATCTAGATCCCTCTCCACCTCAGAACTCTGCAAACATTCTCCATTTAAGAAACACTTTTTTATTCTTCCTGCTGAAATGAACAAATTCATATTCTCCCACGTTCTATCCCACCTGCAAGACATGTACCATTCAATCTATTTATATCAGTTTTCAACCTTGTTATGCCTTCTTCACTATTCATACTTTGTTTTACTTTGTTTTTATTCTTTTGCCCAATTATACATACTCTGTTACAGGCAGGCAGGTGATTTTCTTCTTGAAATGTTTTGAGATCTGCATTCTTAGTTTCAACTCCCTTGCTCTGTCAGAGAAGTCCCTTGAAGTTACAGCTGGATGCATATTCTCTGCACAAGTTTTTGTTTTCAGGGTTTTATAATTGTGGATGAGGTTCCATCTCCAACATGTGAAAATTCTCATTGTGCTGCAAGTCAAAACAGGAGATAAAGACCTTTTCATGCCTCCAAAGGGCAGCCCGGCTTTGTGCAAAAATGTTAATTTCATTTCAGACTGTCTCTTATTTAATCAAGGAGTAAATTACTGCAGATGCTAGATTCTACCCTTGCATAAATGCTGCCCCCTCCACACTTCATTTCAGCTCTGATATCTCATTTCACCTGTCCCAATATCTTTATGTGACATGTCAAAGGTTATCACAATGCTTATGTGACTGTGACATTTTTATAATGTCAAAGGCGCTACGTAAATGCAAGTCAGTATTTAGCAGAATTATTTCAGGTATCCAGGACTTCAATTCTGTGGAATGACTGCTGAATCAACATTAGACCAGAGAGAAATAAGGATAGATTTAATGGAGGCATTCAAAATTATTGTAATGCGACCTTCAGCAGCAGATGGTGACAGTGGGGGAGGGCAGCTTTGGTGGAAGAAAGGCTGATGGGAAGGGGAGAAGATAGTCGAAGAATTCCTAAGTCCATTGTGTTAGCCAGAGGCTGCAGAGAGGTAGAGAGAGAGAGAAAGGTACAAGTTGCTGACATCGCTGCCTGGGAGACATTAGCCAGAGGCTGCAGAAAGATAAAGAGAGAGAACAGGGTAAGAGGGGGGATACCAGCTGCCAACATCATCAACAGGAAGTACTGAATGCAAAGGTGCTGATATGAAGAGAGAAGCAGCTTGTGAACTAAAAATGACCTGCACCCAAGTGCTATTTTGAGCCAATTTAAACCGGATTGAATTAACAATGTTGTGCAGGAAGTAAGAAAGATGAGGTAATGCAAAAGCCTTATTTGGATGAGAAATAATGAGATAATGCTACCTAAGTCTCTGGGCCAGGGCCAATAAGGTAAAGGCATGCAATAAGTGAATTAGCCTGTCCCAACAGGAAGAAAACAGCCCGACTTGAGTTGGATAAAAGAAAGAATAAAAAGAAGAGTCTAGGCCTGAAACGTCAGCCTTCCTGCTCCTATGATGCTGCTTGGCTGCTGTGTTCATCCAGCTCTATACGTTGTTATCCTACTATCTCTGATAAAAAGAAGACCGTTGGGGCATGCAGCCAGTGAAAACTCCAAAGACCAACCGTTGCAGAAGTAGACTCTACGTAAGGGATGTGGTGACAACATTGAGTGCAGCGCCCGGCCAGCGTCAGCCCTTGTCAGCAGAAGCAGCAGCTATCCTGATCGGGTATTAGCTTTTATATTCTGTGACTACTTGGAGAAATCTAATGGGTGGATAAGTAAGTCTTAGTTCAGTTTGTGGGGAAATATATAAGGTCTAGTTTGTGATAAAACATATAGGCAACACGTGTCTTGTTTAATACATTAATAAAGTAATTTGATGAGGTTACAAGAATTGATTCTTCTTCTCTCTGTATAAGTCGATAACCGGAGCTGGTGTTCTCCAGGCTCCCGCCAACCCAATGTGTGGGTACTGTAAATAGTTCCTGGTTTAACTCTTAATTTCCCTTAACATTTATAATGACCCAATACCAATGGAACAAGGAATCTCTGCTTCATGATCTTTGGTTTTTCTATGTGTTTAAATTTCCTGTTACATTTCTGACATAGTAAAATTCCATTGCACAGGCATGAAATCTTGGTGGAATGGGTTGAAAGGTGCCTGGCCAAGAAGGAGTGGATGGTGGAAGAGTTGAAACTGGTAATGACCATGTGGGAGGTCAAAGCTGCTCCAGGATCATTGGAGCCACAGGTATTGGCGGCAGGAATTTGAACTGGTGAATTGAAAAACCAGGGCTGTAGAGAGGGTTTTATACTAAATAGAGGGGGGCAGTTTGGGAAAGGGGAACAAATAAGGCTTTGGTGGCATTACAGTGAAGCTATTCAAATAATGATACACAGTATGGAATAGGAATGGTCAGATTGTATATAGATGTTTAAATATGGTCTGTAGGGGAAAAATGATAAAAAGACAAAATTAATGATTCTTTAATGCATATAGTATTCAGAACAAAATAAGTTAATTACTGGTATAAATAGAGGTTACAAGGTATGATCTTAGCTGTGAAAGTGAGACATTGTTATAAGGAGATCAAAGTTGGGAACTAAATATTCAGGACTTTTTGGAATAACAGGCAGCATGGTGGAGTAGCTTTGTTAGTATAAGGTGGAATAAGTACAATAGCAAGAAATGATCTTCGATTGGATAATGAGGAGTCCATGTGAGTAGAGGTAAGAAATAGCAGAAGTAAGAAGACTGCTGGGTGTTGTCTTTAATCCCCCTAACAGTAGCTAGTTTGTAGAAAGAGAATATTTCAGGAGATTAAAAAAGAAGCAGTATATTAACAATGCCTTTAATCTTCGTATAGATTGGAGATTTCAGTTTCCAAGAATAATATGTTGTGAATCCAACAAGGGATCAGACAATTTTAGATGTGGTAATGTGTAATGAGGTTTGTTTAATAATGATCTCAGAATAAAAGATCTCCTAGGGAACTGTGAAAATAACATAATAGAATTTAACAATAAGTTTAAGAGTGAGAAACTGGGGTGGAAACAACTGTGCTATATAAGTTAATTACATAGGGATGAGGGCAAAATTGGCTGGAGTGTACTGGGAAAAAGGTTTAGCAGAAAAAATGATTGATGACCAATGGGAGGCAATTAAGAAGCTAGTTCATGACTCACAACAAATGTATATTAGATTGAGGAAGAATGGTTCAGGAAGGGGATAAAAATAAGCTTGATTAGCCATGAAACTGAAGTTCAGTATCATATTAAAACAAAAAAAAAATACAATGTGGCCAAGATTTTCAGACTGGAGGACTGTGGTCAGCAGTGTGCCACAAGGATCAGTGCTGGGTGGATTGCATTTTGTCATTTACAAAAATGATTTGGATGTGAACACAGGAGGAATGGTTAGTAATTTTGCAGATGACACCAAAATTGGAGGTGTAGTGGACAGTAAAGAAGGTTACCTCGGAGTACAATGGGATCTTAAGCAGATGGGCTGAGGAGTGGCAGGTGGAGTTTAATTTAGATAAGTGTGAGGAGCTGCATTTTGGAAAGGCAAATCAGGGCAGGACTTACTTAATGGTAAGGTCCTGGGGAGTGTTGCTGAACAAAGAGATCTTGCAATACAGGTTCATATTTCCTTGAAAGGTAGGTAGGATAGTGAAGAAAGCGTTTGGAATGCTTGCCTTTATTGATCAGTGCAGCAAGTATAGGAGTTGGGAAGTCACGTTGCAGCTGTAAAGGACATTGATTAGACCACAGTTGGAATACTGTGTGCAATTTGGGTCACCCTGCTATAGGAAGCATGTTGTGAAACTTGAAAGCGTTCAGAAAAGATTTACAAGAATGTTGCCAGAGTTGGAGTGTTTGAGCTATAGGGAGAAGCTGAAAAGACTGGGGCTTTTTTACTTAGAGCATTGGAGGCTGAGGGGGTGACCTTTATAGAGGTTTATAAAATCATGAGGGGCATGGATAGGGTAAGTAGACAAGGTCTTTCCCCCAGGGTTAGAGTGTCCAAAACTTGAGAGCATAGGTTTAAGGTGAGAGGGGCAAGATTTAAAAGGGACTTAAGGCACAACTTTTTCACACTGAGGTTGATGCATGAATGGAATGAGCTACCAAAGGCAGTGGTGGAGGCTGGTACAATTAAAATATTTAAAAGGTATCTAGATGGGTATATGAGTAGGAAGAGTTTAAAGGGATGTGGGCCAAATTCTGGCAAATGGGACTAGATTAATTTAGGGTATCTGGTCAGCATGGACAAGTTGGACTGAAGGGTCTGTTTTGTGCTGTATGTCTCTATGACTCTGTTAGTGCAACGTTCTCTGGTTTCCTCAGCAAATTGTAGAACGTGTGAGGGAGTTTGACCCCAGCATGTGAAGACTCCATTTGCACCCTTAAGCAGAACCATGTTTCATCACATGTTCATGGCTACCCAGATTTACTGCTTCCTTTCGTACTGAAAATTGATGACAGTTTCTCGGCCTAGGAGCAGTACAAGGGCAGAAAATAATGTTTATTGTTTATGCTGGTCAGAGTCTCAAGCTGAACAAGAGGGAAATGGCGAATTTCTTCAGTATGAAACACAAATTGCTAGCTTTGAGGTGAGCTATTTCCAAGAGGTTCGGAGGCATTCTGATCTGGGCAGCATTTGAAATGTTTACCAACAATAACCCATTTAGCTACTTTCAAATGTCCACCAAACTGGGACCAACAGAGACACAACAGTCCATTGAACCCACACAGTTGCAATTTCAGATCTGGTACAGGTCAGGCAACAGTAATAAAAATTCTGGTATCTTTAATCAGAAGACTGACCAGGGAGGGGACAAACCCCTACCTGGATTCAGGGGACTGTGGTTGATGCCTTGCCCTTGCTAATGCCTTGAGTCAAAGGCAGCAGTCTGACCCTGATTTCCCATGATATTCAGAATAAGATTCAGCAGAATATCACCGATGCACCTTGAACTGAGATCCAAACCAGACAGGCAGAGCCAGGTGTGGTGTCACCTTTCCTATCTATCTTGAAAGAGAACCTCAGTCAGCTTCAACTGATTTACATGTGCATCAGCAAACTGCAACTTTACTGGAAAGTCCAACATCCACCAATGTAGTGCCAGTTGATGAAGGAGTCCAAACAGTAACTGTTGAGGTCCTGGAAGACGATAGAATCCATTACTGGCTGGTGCATGATAAGGAGAGAGACAGAAAAGCAACTCATCCTTCCTGACAGGCTCAAGTGTCAAATGTTGGTAGCATTTCAGAGTCAGAGTCAGAGTCAGAGTCATACAGCATGGAAACAGACCCTTTGGTCCAACACGTCCATGCCAACCAAATTTCCCAAACGAAACTAGTCCCATTTATCTGCATTTGGCCCATATTCCTCTTAATCTTTCCAATTCATGTACCTATCCAAATGTCTTTTGAATGTTGTAACTGCACCTGCATCTACCACTTCCTCTGGCAGTTCATTCCCCATCAACCACCCACTGGGTGAAAAAACTGCCCTTAAGATCCCTTTTAAATGTTTCTCCTCTCATCTTAAAATTATGCCGTCTGGTTTTGAGCTCCCTAAACATGGGTAAACAACCTTTGCTATCCAATTTATCTATATACCTCATGATTTTATAAAGCTGCTAGCCTGGTTTCCTCCACATTCCAACTTTTCCTTCTAATTTTCAAACTTTCATTTTGATCTTTGAAATATTTGAGCCCAGGCTGATTTGGAGATCAATAAATGAGATGCCCTCGTGCAACCAAAATTGAGGACAATGAGCAGGTTATTCATTTGCAAGTTTTGCTTAATAATATTGATAAGGATCGAGAGAGTAGACCAATGGAGAGGGAACTGAGTGGATATGTTCTAAGTATATAACTGGGCAATTTTCCACATTGTCGGAAAGATGTTTTTGTTGTAGCTTACTGGAACAGTTTGGTTAGGGGTGAGGCAAATTCTGGAGCACAAATCTTCTGTACTTTTGCCGAAGATTGTCGGGACCCATAGCCTTTGCAGTATCCAGTGCCTCCAATTGTTCTTGATATCAAATGGAGAGAAGTAAGTTGGCTAAAGAGTGGCATCTGTGATGCTGGGAACCACTGGAAGAAGCTGAGATGGATCATCCACTTGGCATTTCTAGCAGATGATTGATGCAAGTGCTTCAGGCTTATGTTTTGCACTGAAGTGTTGGACTCTTCCATCATTGAGGATGGGGGATATTAATGGAGCATACTCCTTCAGTAACTTGGTTAGTTGTCCGTCACCATTCACAACTGATGTGACAGGGCTGAAGAGCTTAGATCTGAATCGTTGGCTGTGGGATTGCTTAGCCCTATCTACCACATACTGCTTATGTTGTTTGGTGTGCAAATTTGGTAGCTTCACCAAGGTGACACTTAAGATTTCTGTACTGCTCTTGGGACGCTCTCCTGCACTCTCCATTGAACCAGGGTTGATACCCTGACATGACCGTAATGGTAAAGTGGAAGATATGCCTGGCCGTGAGGTTACAAGGTGTGTTGGAATATAATTCTGGGTTGATGATGGCCCACAGTGCCTCACGGATGCCCAGTTTTGAGTTTCTAGATCTGTTCAATGTCTATCCCATTTGGTGATAATGCCACACACAACGATGGAGGGTATTCTCAATGTGAAGGCAGGATTTCATCTCCACAAGGACTGCAGTGATCACTGTTTCCAAAACGGTCATGGGCAAATGCATCTGCAGAAGGTGGATTGGCAATGCCGAGGTCAAATATCTTTTTCCCT